CTTATTTTAGGAGGCCAGAAGTCCAAGCTCAAAGTGCCAGCTTTAGGGACTAGGTGAAAGCCCTTCAACCTTGGGCTTCAGCTCTGCATCTTGCTCCCGGCCCACTGAAGCTGGAGGCTTCCCTTAACCTAGGCAGCTGCTAGCTGCTGAAGCTGACAAACCCAAGGTCAACAAATAAAATGGCACAGTCCTAAGATTACCAAACAACAATGTAGGCCACTAGTTCAAGCCCAAAGACAGTCCCAAGATTGGCAGGGCACTGCAGGCTACATAATGAAGACTTGGCTACATGCAGGTCCAAGCATGCCAAAGAGCTCAGAGATCTTTCTCAATGCTGTCTTCTTATATACTGGAAGCAGACCACATCCCTAAGGCAGCTTACTCAGCTACTCCAGTAGATTTCACCATGGAGTGGATTACCACTCTCATCATGGGAAATAACTACAGCCAACTGCCCAGCCACTCAATCAGGCCCAGCCAAGTTAACCTACAACTTAACTACCACATATGGTGAAAGGATACAACACTGGCACACATCTTTCCTGATTTTAAACTATGCAGTACCATTTTGTTCTGTTTGAACGACTACCTCTTGGTCTATGTACAGGTTCCTCCAGAGCATAAGTAAGTGTTCTCAAATTCCCATTCTTCACAATGTTATCCATAATTTGTTATGATCCACATAGTGAATGCTTTGCATAGTTAATAAAACACAGGTAAACATCTGTCTAGTAGTCTGTGCTTTCAGCAAAGATCCAGCTAACATCAGCAATGATATCCCTCATTCTATGTCCACTTGTGAATTCAGATTGAATTTCTAGCAGTTCCCCATCTATGTACTGCTCCAACCACGTATTATTTTCAGCAAAACTTTACTTGCCCTTGGTATTAATGATACTGTTTGGTAATTTTCACATTCTGTTGGATCCGCTTTCAGAAATATGGACAGAAATAGGGATCTCTTGCAGTCAGTTAGCCAGGCACCTGTCATCTAAATTTCTTGGTACAGATAAGTGAGCACTTTCAGTGTTTCATTCATTTATAGAAACATCTCAGCTGGTATTCATCCAATTCCTGGAGCTTGTTTTTTGCCAATGCCTTCAGTGCAGCTTAGACTTCTTTTTTCAATATCACAGGTTCTTGATCACATGCTACCTCCTAAAATGGTTGAATGTTGACCAATTCTTTTCGGTATGGCAACTGTATATTCCTTCTATTTTCTTTTGATGCTTCTTACATCGTTCAAGATTTTGCCCACAGAATCCTTCAATATGCAATTGAAGGCCTGAATTTCTTCTTCAGTTCTTTCAGCTTGAGAAATGTCAAGCATGTTCTTCCCTTTTGGTTTTCTAACTCCAGTTCTTTGCACATTTCATTACAATACTTTATCTTGTTGAGCTGCCCTTTGAAATTTTCTGTTCAGCTTTTTTTGTAGTATCACTTTCGTAATAAAAATACTTTGCATGATTATAATCTTATCACTAAACTACATTACAACAACTTTTCACAGTAACTATTCTGGCACATCTTTAAGTTTTTAATTTGAAAAAGTAATATACATGCTACAGAAAATATAAATATAAAAGAACATTCCCAACAGTTTATTTAGACCTTCCCAATAGGCTAGTGTGTGTAATGTTATATATACTATGTATATAATATATACTAAGTTATAGTATGTATGTTTATATAACAACTAACATCAAAACAGTACTCATTTTATATATGTAATTAACTGTATCAGTACAATTCTAGGAAGGAGGTGGGATTATTATCATCCCCATTTTAACTAATAAGAAACACAGGCAGAAGGAAACGTGCCCTTAAAGATACACACACAACATATATATATTCACAGACCAAAACATAAGTGGGAATGCACAACACAGTTCTTACCCAATTCTTTAACTTACCATACTTGGAGATCATTCTGTATTACAACACAAATTGCTTTACTCTTTTTACAACTTGAAGCATTCCATTTTATGCATGTATCATTATTTAACAAGGCTGCTACTAATAAACATTCAGGATGGTTAGTCCACAATTATAAATAAATCTAGTGATCTTCCTTTATCTGTTGCACACACGCACATCTGTGCAGGATAAACTTGTAGAGCACACGTTCATTTTTAAATACAGCGCTTTGGGTATTATTGCAAATAATGTAACTTGATAAAAATCAAAAACCAAACTCACTGCCATCAAGTCAATTCCAACTCAGAGACTCCCCTTTGGGTGTCTGAGACGGTAAATCTTTACAGGAGGAGTTTGCCCAGTCTTCCTTCCATGGAGTGGCTGGTGGGTTTGAGCTATCAACCTTCTGGTTAGCAGTCAAATGCCTTAGGCACTATGCCACCAGAGCTCCTTATGCTTTTATCATAAAGAGTAGTATATAAAGAATAAGAGTAATTTAAGATTTTTTTTAAAGTTTGGTCATATCCATCTGACATATCTAAGAGCATTAATAATTTTTCCTATTAGAGATTCAATAAAACTTGTAACTTTATTTTTTTAGAATAACAAATTAATTTCTCTATTTAAGTATTTCTGGTAAATTCTCTTCTCTATTATAATAATCTTGAAAATTATAAGTTTGTATACACTAAGTATTCAAGTAAAATTTTAAGTTGCACAATTAAGTATAAATTATTTTGCTCATTAAACAGAATTCAGAGTTTTCAAATGTGAACATCAATCATATCCATTAATAACTAGTTTTGATATCTACCATTTTAACTTTTATCCAGTTACATGAAAAATCACAAAATTCAGTGTGTTCTGAGACCAGGGTTAGGTGACCTAAGAAATAGAAAAATGATTAACAAAGAAAGCAAAACTTTAAATAAGTAGGTTTAAAACAGGTTTAAGTGTCAGATTAGGATCACAAAAGAGAAAGATGAAAAGTAAGATGTATAATTCATGCAAAAATGTGGAATTTCAATCTTGCCCCTTTTCCTTTGTCCCAGTTTACGTATCTTCTATGTACCTTCAGTTTTGAGGATAAGAAAGGACTCACCAACTTTTAGGGTGAAAGTTGCAGAGATGAATAGATGATAAATACAGCTGATTCAAAATATCTTTCAGCATTCAATGTTACAGTTGGAAGGATTTTTAGAACATCTATTTCAAATACTACTAGTTTTCAAAGTACGGAAATGAGGCTAATTGTCAGGCTGACTAGAATGCAGGTCCCTAACAATCAGTGAGAAGTTTTTCTGTTGTACTATTCCCGAATAATATTTAGATTACATTATCTAGCTTGGGACCCCACAACTTAAACAACATGTGGTGATCCTGGAGTTCTCAAAGGAAAACATTATTAAAAAGAATGGAACAGATTCACTTATAAGGAAAATCTATAAAATTTTATTAGCTTGAAAACAGACTGCTAAGGAAAGGATTGTAAAAACCTTACTAGTTAATCAATGCACATTAAAATGAAATATAATTTTATCATCAAAAATAAAAGTTCATTCCATATTAATGAGATTATGGAAAAGAGGCCACACAGACATTTTAGAGGACAGTGTGACATGGTCTATTAAATACAAAATGCTCCTGGTTTATATGGAGCAAAATCAATTCTGGTATCTATTACCAGAGAAAACACTGGCACATAAGTATAAGCAAAGAGGTAAAAAGATGTTTATTTCATCGACATTTGGAAAATTAAAAATCTGGAAACAAATGTCCATAACCAGGAGAATGAGGAGTAAACTACAGAATGCTAATATGATGGAACACTGCTGTTGTTAGGAGCCGCTGAGCTGATTTCAACTCACATTTACCTCATGTAACAGAACAGAATTGCCTCAGAGGGTTTCCTTGGCTGTAATCTCTATGGAAGTAGATCTCCAGGTCTCTTCACAGAGATACTGGGTGGGTTCAAATCACCAACCTTTTGGTTACCAGCCAAACGCTTAACTGTTTGTGCCATGAAGCCTCCTTTGATGGAAAACCTGAGCAATTAGAAGGAATGCACCAGGACTGCATGTACCAACATCAGTAGGTCACAAAAACACACTGTATGAGTGGAAACAGTAAGGTACATTTTATCTATGATGTAAAATAAAAATTAAATAAATAAACTTCTACAACATAGCAATGTATGTTTTATATGGATCTATATAACTACATTAAGGAGCTCTGATGGCACAGTGGATAAAGCATTTGGCTGCTAACCAGAAAATCAGCAGTTCAAACCCACCCGCCACTCCATGGAAGGAAGATGAGGCAATCTACTTCCATAGAGACTGACAGCCTTGGGAACACAACAGGGTCTCTATGAATCGGAACCAATTCGATGGCAGTGGGTTTGGTTTGGTTTTTTCATATAATACATTAAGAGAACTACATGTATATGTGTCAAACTCAAAGAATATCTCAGGGAAGGAGAGGAAGGAATTGCAACTAGGATTTGTGGTCAAATGAAATTTTGCCTTTATCTGCAGTATCTACTACTTGTGAGAGTAAAAACTTAAAAAGAAATCACTGGGGTAGAAATGCACACTATTATAAAACTTAAGAATTTATCAATGGAGAAATACTCTACTATATTAATCTCCTAATTTTTTAAAGAAAAGCTTTCTTTATTCATACATTACTTCTATAATTAAAACACAAAACAAAATAAGTAGGCTGTGTATACAACAATATGGCATCAGTGAAAAACAAAATTCACGAATACCTTAAAGCTTAATAGAAGATCATAATACTTAAGATTTTTCTCTAGTATAAGAAAAATCATCTCAATAATGGCAGAAAGGAGTAGACTTCCCAAGGTCTTTCAAAAGTAGCAATTATGAAATTAATTTTAAAAATGTGAAACAATAAATCAAAAGATGATAAATAAGACAAATGTCCCAGTTTCTTTATAAAGTAAAAAGGGTTAGATTAGGTGATTGCTAAGATCCATTGGTTCCACTTGTAAAAATCTGAGTTATTTTGAATATCTTTACTCAAATCAGAGATGCAAAACAAATGTATTTTATTCTTACCTAAAAAGCATAAAAACTGTAGCAGGCATCAAGAAAATTTCATTACAAGCAATGAATTTCAGAATATTCTGTTGATTAGCACTTAGTTTATCCAAGACAGATCTCAGCAGAGGTAAACTATTTGAACCCTTTGCCTAAAATAAAAGAAAATAAATGTTAAACAATTAACTATTTTTGATGACTCCACTGTGTTCTTTCTTTAGATAAATAGTATAATGAATAGAAAATACATCAAAAAGCCAATTATTTGGAATTGACAATTAAGTTACAAGACTCTACAGGCCTACAAGTTGAAAAACTACACCAGGGAGACATACTCCTTAGAACAATCAACCACAGGAGCTCAGAAGGGCAGCATCTGCACAGGGAGAAAGGTAGAGTGGCAGGAATGCACAGGCAAGGACACAGGGAGGAAGTGGAAAGAGAGCTATTACATCACAGGGATTGTAATCCGTGTCATAAAACAAAATGTGTATGAACTGTTGAATGTAAAACGAATCTGCTTTGTAAAATTTGACCCAAATCATAATAAAAAGGTAGGTGGGGGAAAAAAAAGTTTACAAAGGTTTTAAGGGCAAAAGTTAATATATTATCCCACTTTATTTTTTATCTTGTGTATCTGAAGAGTTAATAACAAAAAAAAAAACAATAAAAACTCCTCTTCATTTTTAGATATTTTATTTTTCTTAAGAAAGATTAGATTTCACGCAAAATAGTGGTTCTTTCTTTCCAACCATAACAAAATCTATCAAGTTAAAATATCTGTGACCACTTAGCTAACTAAAGGTAGAAGTTAAGAGTCCAATTATTACTGTGACCAAATTAAGTTTAAGAATAAAGAAAAGACCAAAAATTAAGTTTAAGAATAAAGAAAAGACCAACATAAGATGTAATAGCATAGTGGCTAAAGCACTTGACTGCTAACCAGAAGGCTGGCGGTTCAAACCCACCAGCCACTCCTCGGAAGGAAGGTTGGGCAATAATCCTACTTCCGTAGTGATACTGCCTCGGAAACTCAAGGAGGGGTCGCTAGGAGTCAGGGCCGACTCGATGGCACATAACAACAACAACAACATACAGTAAATCATCCTGGCACCCAAAGGTTAGGTTTCAATGTTGTTCTTAGGTGCTTTCCGGGCAGTTCTGACTCACAGCAACGCTACAGACAACAGAACAAAACAAACACTGCCTGGTCCTGTGCCATCGTCACAACCATTACATCTCCGAGGCCACTGTTGCAGCTACTGTGTCAATGCGCCTTGTTGAGGGTCTTCCCCTTTTTCACTGACCCTCTACTTTACCGAGCATGATGTCTTTTTCCAGGGACTGGTCTCTTCTAACAACAGGTGCAAAGTATAAGAGATGAAGGCTTACCATCCTATTTTCTAAGGAACATTCTGGCTGTACTTTTCCCAACACAGACTTATTGGTTCTAATGGCAATCATTGGTATATTCAATATTCTTTAACACCACCATAATTCAAAGGCATCAACTCTTCTGTCTTCCTCATCCAACTTTCACATGCATTATGAAGCTATGGAAATAGCATGGCTTCAGTCAAGCATACCTTATCCTTAAGGTGACATCTTTACTTTCTAATACTTTAAAGAGGTCTTTTGCAGCAAATTTGCCCAATGCAGTACATTGTTTGATTTCTCGATTGCTGTGTCCATGGGCGTTAATTGAGGATCAAAGTAAAATGAAATCATTATTAACCTTAACATGTTTTCTCTTTACCATGATGTTGTTTGGAAGCTCTGGTAGCATAGTGCCTAAGGTACTTGACTGCCAACCAGAAGGCTGGCGGTTGAAACCCACCAGCCACTCCTCGGAAGGAAAGTTGGGCAATCTACTTCCGTAGTGATACCGCTTCAGAAACCCAAGGAGGGGTTGCTATGAGTCGGGTCTGACTTGATGGCACATAACAACAACAACAAATGATGTTGGTTATTGATCTGATTGTGAGGATTTGTGTTTTCCTATGTTGAAGTATAATCTATACTGAAAGCTGTAGTTTTTGACCTTCATCAGTAAATGCTTCAAGTCATATTCACTTTCACCAAGCAAGGGTATGTCACCTGTGTATCAGATTATTACTACATCTTTCTCCAATCCTGTTGCCACACTCTTTTTCATATAGTCCAGCTTCTTGGATAATCAGCATATAGATTGAATACATATGGTGAAAGGATACAATCCTAATACACACCCTTTCTGATTTTCAATCATGCAGTATTCCCTCTGTTCCATTCAAATGACTCCCTCTTGCTCTATGTACAGGTTCCACATGAATACAATTAAGTGTTCTGGAATTCCCACTCTTTGCAATGTTATCCATAATTTGTTATGATTCACATAGTCGAATGCCTTTGCATAGTCAATAAAACACAGATAAACATCCTTCTGGTATTCTCTGCTTTTAAGGAAGAACTATCTAATTTCAGCTGTAATACCCCTCATTCCATGTTCTCTTCTGAATCCAGTTTGAGTTTCTGGCAGCACCATGTCAATGTACTGCTGCAACCATTTTTTAATTCTCTTCAACAAAATTTTATTTCCATGTGATATTAATGATAGTGTTTGATAATTTCAACATTCTGTTGGATCACCTTTCTTTGGAATGGGAATAGGGATCTCTTCCAGTTGGCTGGACAGGGAGCTGTGCTCCAAATTTTTGGGCATAGATGAGTAAGTGCAGTGTTGGATCTGTTTGTTAAAATATCTCAATTGGTATTTTGTCAATTTCTGGAGGCTTCTTCATCACCAACTCCTTCAGTGCAGCTTGGACTTCTTCCTTCTTGATTACATGTTACCCCCTTAAATGGCTGAATGTTGATCAGTTCTTTTAGGTTTTTTTTTTTTTTTTTAAAATACTTTATGGTTTGAAGGAAAGTTTACAGAGCAAGTTTGTTTCTCATTCAACAATTTATATGCATTTTGTTTCATGACATTAGTTGCAATCCTCTCAATGTACGAGCCTTTTCCCACTTCTTCCCATTTCCATTCACACATCTTTCCTGCACCCTCCTGCCTTCTGAATTTTTTTGGTCAAATGTTGCCTTTTTGATCTCATATGGTTGATTATTCTGAGGAACACCTTCCTCACAGGTGTTTATTGTTCACTTGATAGGCCTATCATTTGGCAGAAAGGTGATCTCCAGGAGTGGATTCAGTTTCAGGCTTCAAGGGTGTCTAAGGGCCATAATCTTGGGGCTTTCCACCAGTCCAGTAAGTCTGGTTTTTTGTTTGTTTTTTAATTTTGTTCTACATTTTTATGTAGATCGGATCTTCTATTATGATCCCAATCAAAGTGGTCAGTAGTGGTAGCAGGCCACCATCTGGTTCTTCTGGTCTCAGGCTAGGATGTGGTATTTCATGTGGTCCGTTAGTCTTTTAGACTAACTGTTTCCTTGAGTCTTTAATTTTCTTCCCTCTTCCTTGTTCCATATGAGGAGAGACGCACAGTTGTATCTGAGATGGCCACTTCCAAACTGTTAAGATCCCAGTCTCCACTCACCAAAGTAGGATGTAGAACACTGTCTATGGACTATATCAATCACCCTAGATGTCCCCTGAAACAACTGACCAATTCTTTTTTGGTACAGTGACTCTCTATATTCTTTCCATTTTCTCTGAATGGTTCCTGTATCATTCAATATTTTGCCCATAGAATCTTTCAATATGCTCAAAGCTTGAATTTCTTCAGTTCTTTCAGCTTGAGAAATACTGAGCACATTCCTCCCTTTTGGTTTCTAACTCCACATCTTTGTACATTTCATTATAACTTTACTTTGCCTTCTCAAGCCGCCCTTTGAAATCTTTTTACTTCATTCTTTCTTCATTTCAGCTACTCAAAAGCAAGTTTCAGAGTCTCTTCTGACATCCATTGTAGTCTTTTCTTTGCTGTCCTTTTAATGACACTTTCCTTTATTTAAATATGATATCCTTAAATATCATCCCACAACTCATCTTGTCTTCACTCATTAGTGTTCAATGTGTCGAATCTATTCTTTGGATGGTCTCTAAATTCAGGTGGTTGTTGTTGTTATGTGCCACGGAGTTGCACCCAACTCATAGCGACCCCTCCCTTGGGTTTCTGAGGTATCACTATGGAGCCTTTTTTCCAAGGAGTGGCTAGTGGGTTTGAACCGCCAGCCTTCTGGTTAGCAGTCAAGTGCATTAGGCACTGCGCTACCAGAGCTCTCAAATTCAGGTAGGATATACTTAAAGTTGTGCTTTGGCTCTTGTGGACTTGTGTTAATTTTCTTCAGCTGCAATTTGAACTTGCAAGGGAGCAATTGATGGTCTATTCCATAGTCAGTTCCTGGCCTTGTTCTGAATTATGGTATTGAGCCTCTATATCCTCTTTTTCCATAGATTTAGTTGATTTGATTTCTATCTATCCCATCTGGTGAGGTCTACATGTACAGTTATTTATGTTGCTGGAAAAAAGGTATTTCCAATGAATGAGTCATTTGTCTTGCAAAATTCTATTATGCAATCCCCCTCATTATTTCTATCAAGGCCGCATTTTCCAACAACTGATCCTTCTTTTTGTTTCCAACTTTCCAATTCCAATCACCAGTAATTATCAATGCATCTTGATGACATGCTTGATCAATTCTAGACTGCAGAAGTTGGTTAAAATCTTCAATTTTTTCATCGTTGGCTTTAGCAGTTGGTGCATAAATCTGAAGAAGACTTTCATAGGCTTTAATAACAGACTCTAATGTTATAACTGCAGTAATTAGAAAAAGTTTTAGGAAAGTAGTTCTGAACATTAGTATAAAAGAGATGCAGTGCACCTTACTTGTATATTAGAATTAAAAATGAAAGATGTCTGACAACATAACTTATCAAATTTAAAAGATTTTTTAAAAAAATAAAGAGATCTATTACAAACTTCAAAATGTCTTCTGAGGATTAAGAAATAATTCTTGATACAATCCTTTATGTACAAAATATACTCTTTTATGAAACTTCAAGAATAAAAAAATCAAACTTAAAAACCCTTCAAAATCACTAAATAATGCAGAACAAAGTTGTAAAAAAAATAGAGAAAACGTCCATGATAAAAGCACAATGTCCTAGAACTCTCAAATTTATATAAATTACCTATAGTCCAGGAGTCAAAAAACAGCATCGTTTTACTTACATCAAGGACCTTTTTAGTGTATGTGGCAGCATGAAGCAAAGAGAACAACAAGACAGGGAAAATACTCACTGAAGAAAGCAATTAAGGAAAATATTTAAAATCATCAAATATTTTGCAAAATAGGGTATGTATTATATCCAAATATACCGATCTGAAACACCACCTACTAAAACAGAATTTAGTGTACTAATGGCTTTTGCTTTACTGATACATTTTATAACCAAATGAAAATTTGTTACCTATAAGAAACTTAAAACTTGTAAGTAAACTCCTGTTTAATTTTCTGAAGTTCTCCATTTTTTATGAAAAAAAAAAAAAATAGTGAAAAGTTTTTATCCATTTATTTCTAATGGTTAATAAAACATTTTAAATATTTGCTAAATTTTTTGAAATCTGGGCCACCTCAAAGGGTTAAATGGCCATCCTTGCCATTCTGAGACACTTCCAACACAGTGATAGTGTTTTTGTGTAGTCTTTTTGTATGGCTTTAGCCAATTTTAATCACTGATCAGGAGACTGAGGTTTAGAAAGCACTTTCCAACTTTTCCTCAACTAAAGATCTTTTATTATTTCTTTCCTACGCAAATTCCACTATCTTGAGATATTGTACCTATCAAGCTGTTAAGAGTTGATATCCCAACTTGTACAAATAAAATTTCAGTGTATATTTATGTCAGTATATAGTCTTTCAAGAGTCTCTTTAACTCCAGACATAAGCAAAGAATTCTTAGACATAAAAATAAGAGTTCGGTTGTTCAGCTTCGTGTCACATACAAAAATACAACTTTCACGCAGCTTTTTGAAAATCAGAAAACTTTCAAAAGACCTCATTGTCTACCCCAATTTATGCCAGATTCATTTCCATGAAATGATATAAATTGTTACTCACTGCCATCAAGTTGAATCTGACTCACAGTGACCCCTCCTTGGTTTTCAGGGCAGTATCGCTATGGAAGTATATTGCCCAGTCCTTCTGAGGACTGGCTGGTGGGTTTGAACCACCAGATTTCTGGTTGGCATTCAAATGCCTTAGTTACTATGTCACCAAAGCTCCCTATAAACTATTAGTCAATCACAAATGGCAAAAATACTTGTCTTAAAATACCTAAAGGTCCTAAGAAATAAACTTTAGATTCCTAAAAAACAAGTATTTTTCTATACTAATGAAAAATTTGGGAGCTCTGGTAGCATAGTGGCTAAGACACTTGCCTGCTAACCAGACGGCTGGCGGTTCAAACCCACCAGCCACTCCTCGGAAGGAAGGTTGGGCAATCCTACTTCCGTAGTGATAACTGCCTCGGAAACCCAAGGAGGGGTCGCTATGAGTCGGGGCCGACTCGACGGCACATAACAACAACAACAACAACAATGAAAAATTTGGCAAAAATCACCAGAAGAGTGATTGTTGTAATACAATTTGAGTATCTAATAGATTATAACTATAATTTATTTAGAATCTGAAATTTCCTAATTTCCGTTGGCCAGCAAGACAGACCTATAACCAAGTATTAGAAGAATCCTAACTCTCTAATGATATAGTAGTTCTGCAAGTTAATATCCTAACACACTCTTCCAAACACCGAGTAAAATGCCAATTTCCTGACTGGTAGTGGTACTGTTCAGCTGCCATCAAGTCAGCTCTCAACCTATGGCAACCCAAGACCTTTTATACAAAGTTTTAAACTTTTTCATGAACCAAAGGTCCTTTGAAAGGAACAAAAGCTACGAACTTCTGAGAAAAATGTGTATGTGTCTAGGCATCTATACATTTATATATGATTTCTAGGTTCACTGATAACCTCCAAGAAGTCCATTCATGGTCTCCCACAGAGTGTTTAGAAACTCCAATAAAAAAGTAATTAGTTCCAAGGTGTTTCTAAGTGTACTATAAACTCTGTCACTTCTTAAATTGAACTTTAAACTCTGGCACATATCCAGACTTGAGGATTGACTCAGTAAAGATGTAGTGTGGGCTAGTCGAAACAAACCCTTGAATTGCTGAGTCAAGACACTTAGATTCTAGTTCTAGCTTGGTGACTAGCTGGCTTCATTTCTGTAGGCCAAGTTTCATCCTATATTCAAGGAACATGTAGAGATCAATGGTAGAGACTTTTGAGTCTTTTACCTCTAATATTTTATAGTTCTCAAATCCTTGATAAGCACCTTATAATCTTACTTTTCAACATCACCGTTAAATTAGTTTAAAAAGATAAGGAGTGAAAAGCCTACAATATAACCCCCTGAGTAACCATCAGTGTTAGAGCAAGGACAATGTAACATCTTTGTAAGAGTAAAAATCAGAACAGATTTTGGTAGTATTACTTTGGGCTCACCTTTCACATAATACCCAAGCTACCTTAGGAATTAGATGAGTATTTTCTGCCAATTACTAGTTTATGTTATTTTCACTGCTCACTATTTTAATCCTGGAAGGATTAAAGAAATAAGTAATTCTCAATCGTCAACATTCCCATGAGAGAGGGGCTAGCAAACAAATGCATAGAAAAGGCAGGCAGGTTGCCTTCAGTGGTCACAATTCTCATTAGGCAGCAACTCAGGAGTCACTCAACAAAACTTAGAGCACCTGCTCTGGGCCAGGTACTGTTTCAGACTTAGTACTGATGTAGCCAATGCGTTCTATAACAATCACCAGGAAACAGACGGTCTGTCATTTCTATTTTTCTTGTCAAAGAAATTTCAACTACTAAAGCTGAACCAAGAACCTCTATATAACTTCCCATTGCATCTCAAAGGGGCAAGAATTTTAATACTGATGACTGCAAAACACGACAATCATTGTGGCTGACAAAAGCAGATCAAGCTACTAACATACCAAACAAATGTAATCACTGTTTATAGCTGTAGTACAATTTTTGGTAAAAAAATTACCAAAACACTAACAAATACAAAACTATGATGGGATATGCACTTTAACAGAGTTCTAAACCACTTATAAATTTTCTGGGAAGTGAATAATTTAAATAGAATCTGCCTATATATATATACACAGTGCCTAAGGCACTTGACTGCTAACCAGAAGGCTGGCGGTTCAAACCCACCAGCCACTCCTCGGAAGGAAGATGAAGCAATGTACTTCCGTAGTGATACTGCATTGGAAACCCAAGGAGGGGTCACTGTGAGTTGGGTTCGACTCGACGGCACATAACAACAACATACAGTTACCCGCTTTGCCCAAGTAGGGATGGAAACATTTGTAAACAACATGTAAGCATTGTTCACTCATTAACTGTGGATTAATGCTATTAAATGAAAGGTCAATGTTTAGAATCCACCAGCTACTTCATAGGAGAAAGATGTGGCAGTCCGCTTCTGTAAAGATTACAGCCTTTGATACTCTATGTGACAGTTTGTCTCTGTCCTATAGGGTTGCTGGGACTCAGCCAACTTGATGGCAAGGCTTTTTCTTTTTTTTTTTTTAAGTATGCCTTTTAAGTCAACTAGACTTTGTCAGCATTACTACTTATTATCTAGTACTGGGGTCAGGAAAACTATTTAAAACTCTTTGAGATTCAGTATTTTTATCAATAATATGAAGCTCACAATGATTTTCTCAATGTTGCAAGGATTAAAGAATATGGTAAACTCCTATACACTGGAAAAATATACAAAATTTGGTATATCATGAATAGATATGGAACAATATTTAGTCTTAACAGAGATATTTTATTGTGTTTTCCATCATATATAGTTGTGCCATAAATATTTAAGAACTCTTGGAATAGCATTTCATAGTCTCCTGTAGGATGACCCACTGAAAAAAAGGGTCAAGTTTAAGAAACACCGATAGTATTTTAGTTTCATAACGCACATTAACAGACCAAAGGTCTTATAGTAAAGAAACCTTTTTAACAATGTTTAACTCAGAGCGTCCCAAACTTACTTAATTAGAAAAGCCCTACTCTTTCCTCTCCTTTTTGGAATAACACTCCTCATCATCCCACAACACACTTTTGAAATGCTTAAACCTACAAATTCCAGATGAGCTATTTAACTCCCGTTATCTTCAGGGATTATGTATATGTACCTTTATTTTCTACTCCATCCATAGCAAATTCCAATTCCTTTTTATTGATTGATTATCCCATTCTCTGCTTAAAGAAGTTATTTCTTGACTTATTTTCATTTGTTTCCAGCTCAATAGAGTTAAGAATGGAAAGAGAGGGGCTGTTTTTAAAGTCGGGCTTCAAACTGGTTCAGTAACGGTCAATGAAACAAAACCAGAACAGACCCAAATTTTTAAGATTTGGATGATCTGGAACAAGTTACAGGTCGAAGCCCTGGAACGGGAGACTCAAAAAAGGTGTGGTGAGCCCTTTCTGAGACTGCAGTGTTGACAGAACTGTGGAGAGCCATACACAGTAAGGCACCACGGCTGGCTGCCATTCTTAAGCAGGGCACTGCTGTTTCTGACTCTACCCAAAATCTGATGGGAAAGAGAGCTGCCTGTGTTTTCTAAGAGGGAGATAAAATTTCTAGCAGGGCTTTGGCCTATAATTTTTCCTGTTCTGGTTCACTCAAAATTCCGTTCTAGTTTTGTATCCTCAGCCAGAATGAACCAGAAAGAACCAGTCTGAAGACCTGCTTTAAAGCAAGACACCTGAATACTTTCCCAAAGATGTGAATTAAATGAAAGAAATATTTAAATATTAAATAAGTCCTATATAGACTAGTGCTTTGAATCTGAAATTTAAAAGTATTCACTGTTAATATAGAAATGTTAAAAGAACAAAACAGTTTAAAATTCCCAAATCAGTTCTCCCAATTTTTAGATTTTACATTTTTAAGAAATTCTTACACAACATGATCTTCATTTAAATGAACGCAAACAAACAAATAAACCCAGACTTCACAAAAGGCCTTCATCTCTGAATTCTTTCTATAACACCACCCACTGCCACTGAGTTGATTCTGGGTCATAGCAACCCTACAGGACAGAGCAGAACTGCCCCACAGAGTTTCCAAGGCTGTACATCTTTACGGACGCAGACTGCCTCATCTTTCTCCCACGGGTAGCAGCTTGCAGGTTCGAACCACTGATATTTTGGTTGGCAGCCAATCCTTAACAATTATGCCACCTGGGCTCCTAAAGCAAGATATAATCAGAAGAAATCTTCTATATATTTAGTAGGCAATTTTGCTAGAAACACGTTAAAAAAGGATACTTGTAACTGGGTAGGAGTTGACAAAGATGAGCGAGTACAACAGGTAGTGGCAGCTGTCCTCTAACAAAGCCTGGGCCAGGAATGCTCTGCTTAACTGGAAATGCGGTAACCTTTGGTGCAGCCTCAGAGCACTAGTAAGAGCATTTGCCAGCAAAGCACGTTGGTAAAAGCTTGCTGCTTCATGCAACCTGCGAATTACCAGAGGAGAGGTTATCATGAGACATAAACAACTACCACGTCTCTTCCTCCTTTGTGAATTGCATCATAATTGCACAACACCTAAATCTATTATTTAATAGTCAATAGAAAAAAAAATACTCAAACCTATTCTACCTTCTTAGAAGCATCACTTCATGAATATAAACAAATGAATTTTATAAAACAGTCACCATTCTTCATGGCAAGTTAAAAAATAAAGTCAGAATCATAAAACATGAACTCATCTCATCCCCACCCATCTATTTTCTAAGATTTTCAAAGTGCTCTTAGTTGTCACAAATTATTATATACAAAATATTCTGATTCATAGTAAATTATTAATGCCTTAAAGGCAGTACTTGTGTTTTATCTGCCCCTGAACCAGTTAGACTTTAATAGATGATGTAAGTAAAAGGCAGTCAATAAACATTAATTGAATAATCATTTTTTGGATGTAAAAGCAGAAATAGGTCTAATACATACCCAAGAAGAGGCAGAACAAACAAAGCAGAGCAGTAAACTGTGAACAAACGAGAAAGCCACATTGCTGTGTCCAGTTTATTGGTCATCATAAATTGCTAGATTGAAAAAGAAAAATATTATAGTAAACTAGGCCCACAGATTACATTTTTATGAATGAATGAAGATGATGTGGTTTTCCTATTCAAAATGTTTCATGATGCTACAGCCATTTGTTTTTGGCTTCATGTATATGCTTATTAACACGTCCAAACATCTTATAGTTTTGATGTATTTAAGTAGGAAAATATTAGTTGACATTTAAAAATAATAAATAAACTAATTAGAAAAGAAAAATCGGAACAAAAATTTAACTACAATTGTCTGTATTCCTTCAATACTTGTAATACTGGCTTCCTCTATTTTAAAAGAACATTAAAGAACTAATTGCTCTCAAGAGAATCATGTGACTATTCTTAGAAAATCTCAAGATTTGAATTGGTAGGTCTCAGATCAGAGTAAGAAGACATCACACAAAGCTAGGTGGATTAAATGAACCTACAAAGTAGAAATATAAAATGTAAAACCGTGGTAATAGTCAACCAGCATTGAACTCACTAGCTTTGGATGATTTGCCTAATACAAAAAGGCATGGCATACTACATGTGCTCAAAATATTGCTGGGGATATTAAAAGACACCTGACTCTCTGATTACCTAACTCTCTTCATCCTCTCCAAGCTCCTCCACGAGACTTACCCTACGTTTGGTGGCCCTAGATAAAATTTCCATATATTATTTTCTTCTCCATCTTATCTCATTCTAATTTAAAAAAAAAAAAAAAAAATTTCCTTTGCTGCTTTTTTCCAAAGCATGTGCCCTACCACTAAAGCAGTAACTTAAAATCTGTTATCTCATTCAAGATGTAGCTTACATTCCAATTCCAAAGAGGCTTTTATACTTTTTTTGCCTAGCATCTCCATAAATAATCTTTATACTGAGACCCACTACAAATAAAGGTAGGTATATAAAGGAATCAAAAGTTTCATAAAACAGTACTTATCCTTACTATGTGTAATGAATTTTGATATTTTCTGTTTTAATTTTTAAAGAACAGTTGGTTGTGGTCCCCTACATTTATTTTGAAACTCACTAAGAAGTCTTAATCTGAAGTCTAAAAACAGTGCCCTAATGATCTAAATTATCTTTTGAAAAACTGAAAAAAAGATACACAAATTTTGAAAGAGAAAAATTCAAGTACATTTAAAGCTCAAGGATGTTGTGTTGGAAGCCTTTTTCATGATATGCAGGTCATTTTTGAAACATAAAATATGCCTCTGGTTTATTCTATCCACAGCCTACCATTTTGGGGAAAAAAAAAAACCAAACTCACTGCCTTCGAGTCGTTTCAACTCATAGCGACCCCTCCCTTGGGTTTCCGAGGCAGTATCTCTACAGAAGTAGGTTGCCCAGTCTTCCTTCCAAGGAGTGGCTGGTGAGTTTGAACCGCCAGTCTTCTGGTTAGCAGTCAAATGCCTTAGGCGCTACGCCACCAGAGTTCCTTTCAGCCTACCATACTCCTCTAAATTTAAATGATCAGCAGTGGTCAAGTGGAAGGGTGAATCTCACTTACTGTGCTCAGTTTTTCTACAAATATTCAGATTTTATATTGTTTAAATTTAACTTTAAAACATTAACATTCTCTTCAAAATCTATTTGTTTGGGACATTCATATGGTGATAAAGCATTTCAGTCTGCACACTTTTCTATGTGTGTTTTGTTTCATAAAAGTTTATTTGTTCACATTTTAAAAGTGAACTGTCAAACTACAGTAATAAATGGTAATAATAATAGGATAAGTAATAATAAATAATTTATAGTAATAAATACTTCAGGCAAAAAATATCACTAGATTTTTGGGTGAAAAATTGTTGAGGAGTAAGACATTCACATAGTCTCAAAGTATCAAGTCATAAACCAAACCAAAAAACCAAACTCACTGCCATCCAGTCGATTCTGACTCATAACAACCCCCTTTTGGGTGTCTAAGGTAATAAATCTTTACAGAAGTAGATGGCCCAGTCTTCCATCTGTGGAATGGCTGCTGGGTTTGAACCGTCAACCTTCTGGTGAGCAGTCAAATGCCTTAGGCACTATACCACCAGAGTTCCTTTTTAATTATATAGGGAAAATGTAATTTTCACAGAATCTTGTTTAATTAGAAAGGGAAAAAGGTATTTTTACAATAGAGAATCTGGTGAACACCACCTTAACCAAGTAATTAAATTAAGTATTTCCAATGATGTGACATAAAATGCTCCGAGGGGGGTGTGTGTGTGTATAAAACCAAACTCACTGCCATCGAGTCAGACCGACTCACAGCAACCCCTTCTTGGGTTGCCGAGGCAGTATCACTACGGAAGTAGATTGCCCCATCTTCCTTCCCAGGAGTGGCTGGTG